CTCTCTCTATCTTCTATTCAGTCTACCTCTACTTATATATCTATTTTTCTTTCTCTTTCTCCGTTGGTACTTATTTATATTCAGAAGTCTGTGAAAAAAGGAAGAAAATGAAATAAGAGTTGTTTATTATAAAGAAATCGTTTAATTTGTTATTAGTTGCGAAGAAAATAATTATTGAATTAATAATTTCTATGTTATGTTATATATTATGTTAGCGTTAATTTAAAATAAATTATTAATTGCAAACGTTCAAACTATAAACATTGATTTTAGTATAGGGTTTTAAGGCCAATTATTCTGTTACTAAGATTTGTTGATCCTTTCACATCCAATCCCACTTCATTGGTTTTCGTGATAAACAACTTATAGGTCTCGTGAGCGGTTAGATTCTTGATGATTTCCTTCATTTCTTTGGACGTAATCTTTGCGATGAAATCAGTGAAGACTTTGGAAGTCTTTAACTTTTTTCTGTAAAGAGCGTCAATTTTGTCCAAAGGTAATACATCATAAAGATCCTTGAGCAGCCCTTCCATTCCATCACCGATCTTCTGTATCTTACTTAGAGACATGAAAAGATTCTTTATTTTGGGTGGCACATATTTTTCCATGCCGATAGCATGATGCGATGCTTGAATAAATTCAATAACAGGGAGCCCAGTCTTTTCTAAATATATCACGAATGCTTGATATTCCTTAAGAGCTTCGAGAGCGCGCAGCAGATCGTGGAACTCAATTGTGAATATGAACAGTGCAGCTTTTTGTACTTTTTCGTCTTCATTTACATACTGGACTATTATACTGAGAAACTTTTCTATCGGAATAAGATGGATGAAATCTTCTAGTTCTGCTATTATCGTTTTAGAAGGAAGACTTGGTACCTTGATGCCGAGAATGAGATACATGATATCTTCTACAATTTTTAAACTCACTGATTTAACTTCAAGATAGTTTAGGATCAACTGAAAGGTTTCAATTTTATAAATTTTGTTAACAAGCTGTTGGAAATTGTTGGATTTAAGTTGGTTAATGAAGTTGATAAAGGCTGTAGAGATTTTTAGTTTGTCCGCAAATATGCTAATAAAGATATCATAATCAATGTGTTTCTTGATTTCATTGATCAATCCGCGGAGTCCGCCGGTCTTCCTCTCTATAGAATACGTTTGAGAACTGGATGGTACGAGTTCCTTAATATCATGTGCTTGGTTAATCATGTTCATTACGTTAAAAATATTGATGCCTTCATTATGCAAATAGATAATTAGCCTGAGTACTTCAGGAATGGTTTGGATATCTATCAGCATGCGTTTGATTATAGGTGTACTTTGATGAAAGTCATTAAATATCTCTTGTATTTCATTATCATACATCACATAGTATATAACATCATCGATAACTTTTTCCAGAGGAAATAAATCTAGAATGTCTTGTAAATCCTCATGAAGAGGACCTGTACCGAAATTCGGGAACTGGTGAGTTTGTCCCAAACCGATAATAGCCAAGATGGCAAATAGTCTTAATGTGAATTTCATCTGTAAATTAATATTGAGCGTATTATACAACATATCTTTTAATATGTATAACTATCATGTTATGAAAAGCATTACTTTGAAAAATATATCAACATTTTCCATTAATGATTAATTTTCATATATACAAAGTACTTGCGATTACATATAAAAAATAAATGACATAAATAATAATTATTTTGTTAAGATTACATGATAATACTTATAATTTTTATCTTATATATGAATAAATCAAAGTTTAAAAATTTTTTGTAATATTAAATCTTTTTGCAAATTAAGATAAAAATTTAAAAATATATAACAAAAAGTTACATATTTTTATAATATTTATATACTTTTTTTCTTAGTTTTATTTAATTTTAACTAGATTTTTCTTGAATAAAATAGATCAAATTGAAGATCAAAATATAGTACAAAACAATATAAGGAATATAATAAACAATACAAAGACGTATGCTCTTTATTTCTCCATCTTATTTAAGATTAACTAGATTTTTCTTGAATAACTATTAAATTAAATATTAATAAATTTAAAACAAAACAAAGCAAATACACCACACAAAATAAAATTAAAAATACACATATATATTTCATTAATTATAAGAATTTTTCGAAAGAAGAAATCTATATATGATTAAATTTCTATTAAAAACGAAATTTGTACTAAACTGTAGATGGGTTGATTGAATGAAGCTAAAAATAGAAAGGACAATCACTTGCATAAATATAACTTGTTAAATTTCTCAGTATACATATGTATACATGTAAGATGTATGAAGAAACTTTACTTACCGTGACAGTTGTAGATGCAGACTGCGAACGTGAATAATTTATCATACATTTATATACTAGTGATCAAATTGTATGAAAAGATTAAGAAATTCGATAAGAAACTGCGATTAGATTGAGATATGATTGATTCGTATGAAAATTTAAGAATTATTTGATAAGTTTTTAGACGAATTTGATTAGCTTTCCAAATATATTATATATGTATATACACGGAGAGAATTTTTTTTTTAAATTTACCCTGAAAATATGGTGATTGTGGTACAATACAATATTTTAAAGATTTTTACCATGCACTTCAGTAAAATTGATCAAACTTATTTTATACTTTATTGTAGTTTTATTAATGAATGAGAGAGATTTATATTAAAATTCTTGGAAATACAATGTTGTCCCACGATTGTCATATTTTCAGGGTAAATTCTAAGAAAAAATTCTCTCCGTGTACCTGTATAAAATAAGAAATAATAAGAATGTGTGAATATAACACAACTCTTCTTCTAAATACGATAAATATTTGTAAAATTTATATTTGCATATATTTGGATTAACGGTATATTTTAATTGCTCATTTTTATATAAATACACAGTAAAAAAGAAAATTTTAACATTTTTTACATGTCCCAGAAGATCCACTCTAAATTTTAAGTTAAAGTAACTCATTCGTCTTGTGTTATTTATTAACGAACGAAGAAATGTTAAATAATTGACACAATACTCACTGAGAGAAAGGATTTTGTTAATTTAGCAAGCCA